CGGCCGTGTTCATTCAGCACGGCTAACCCTCGCCGTTCCCAGTCCCTCCGGATATCCAGGTGCATCCTCCATTACCTCTGCATTTGCTACATATAGATGATATGGTCAAAGCCATGCATACAAGCAATGATAAACTAATTATGATATGTGCATCTGCTGGGAGACCCCCTTAGTAACTGAGGGTAATGAAAGAAGGCAGAGTAGCGAGGGCACCATGTGGGAGAGGAGCCTGACGGACAGAGCCCTGCAACTTCCTTCATTTTCACTCTATATTCCAAATAACTCCCTTGCTCAATTTGCTACCCACACACCAAAGCATTGTCCCATTTTATCTGGTTCCCCTGATACTTCCATTGCTTATCTTATGAAGATCTGTGTTAACATTTATCAAAACAAATGGCAAGCCTGGGACCTTTTAAGTAGTTTTTTTAGTTAATAAAACCAATCTTCTACTTCTGTTATGTTAAAAGTACATTATCTTTTTATTACAAACTCTCTACAGCTCTGTCTGTTTTCCTTCTTGGCAATTTCATGACTGCTCCAGTTGATTGCTGTATGGAGAATTACAAAATCATTAAGGGTGGGGTTTTACCAGCTGACTTACAGTACAAGCTATTTCTCAAAATAACCACAACAGTGCAATACTGATGTGTAATTTACGTCACAGTATGTTTTTATGAAATAGTTTGTGGCTTATTCATTTAGATTTAGAACTGAATATCTCTTCTCTTGCTTTTTAATCAAGCTTTCTTCTTTCTTTTTTTTTTTTCTACTTTTTAATATTTTCCACTCCTAGGCTTGGCTTGCCTCCAGTTTACCAGCTACAGTGAGGAGGAAAATGGTTTGTTTTTTTTTTTCTTTCGCCTGCAGTTTAACTGCAAGTGTGTTTTCCTCTTTGATGTATACATTTGTGTTAACTGCCTCGGAAGAGATGGTAGATTTGTGGTAGAATGTATCGCACAACAGTAGAGCAGAGAATTGGTAAAAGAGATGCAAAAGTTTGGAATTTCAAACCATAGCAAGCGAGTGACGCTATTTAGCCTCCTGCTCTAGTACATTTCCTTTTTAAAAATGACTTTCTGAATAATGTCTTGTAATTAGAACAGGAAATCATTGAGTAACTGTAAGAAGAATAAGAGCACTTAAACTGAAAAGAAAATTACCTTCCGAGAAATTATATTCACCATTCTTTTTTCCTTTAAATTTTTTTTTTCTTCCCTTCACATCACTGTGTTGGTAATGATAGTAACAGATGTACGTACCCTTATCTGTATCATTGTTCTGCTTATGTTTTCTGGGGGAAAAAAATCGTTTTCAGTAATACAAAAAATGAATGGACAGCAAATGGGAAATGCCTAATTACAAAAAATATTCTGTGTCACAACAGAGTAGCAATTAAATTGAAACTTCAATATAATTATCAATAACAGTCGAGCCTGGAAGGGTGCCAGGCGCGTAAAGTTGGTGCTCAGCCTTTATGTGGTTGCTAGGAGCACGGCGAAAAGTATAAAGCTTAGAGAAAGGAATGTCTAATGTAATAAAGTAACAGAAGGTAGCATAAATCATTGTGAGAGCAGTTCATATTGACATTATTTTACTTAAATTGGGTCGAAACTAGACATTTAGTCTTACAAGAGGCACAAATTCATATTTCTTCTGCAGAAATAACTCTGTGCTTTCTGGGAAGAAGTGGAGTGTGCTTTCCTAGCACCAGTCTCGTACATATTTGGAATCTTTTAAGCAAAAATCTTTAAATGTTTGTTTCTGTTGGCATCCAAATGCATTTGCACTAATACGATTAAAAGAACTAAAGGGCAAAATACTTGGCAGCTTTTGCAGTTGAGGTAATTAGGTACAGGAAGGAACATGCATAGTTTTTCCATCAAGCTCTATAAAATCCTGGTGTGAAGGTCTTTTTAAAGAAAAAAATGCTTACTGATGTTGAGAGTAGATTATGGCAGTTAGCAATAACATTATAGGCTGATGTTTCCGAAACAAGCAAACAAAAAGCGAGTTACAGTTTTGCATTTCTCTGCTTTCTCTGTAAATAGTTCTGGCTCAAGACGGAGTTGTTAGGAATTCATGCTTTTAGCAGGCTTTATTTTTTTTTTCTTTTGGGGCTTTTAATTGTCTTGCGTTACATATTAAAAATGGTTGTGCTGATTTGAAAAGTCAGTTCTTGCATAGATTCATTGTGTTTGGCATTTCATGCATCTCTTACTTACAAAGACAACTTGAAGAACATGTAATCCAACGTAAATGCCAGGCTGTGCCAAATCCCAGCTCTCTTTACCCCTCACAAAGGGAACTGTTGGATTACATCTATGCATATATAGGCAGCGCTCGGAAGGCAGGGGTGGAACCTTGCCTCCTAATTACAGTTTCTCTGTTTTCAGCCCTGAAATATATAAATAAATGAAAAATTGGCATTGGAGGGGGTTATTAAAACACACAATTATGATATAAGCATGGGATTAGAGTAATTTCAGTTGAGCCTTACAAACAGCATGCTGTAGGTATTATCTGTTACCATGTTCTCTCTGTTGAAGCTAAAATGAGATTCAGAAATACAGCATCTCGTTTTTTTAAGAGCTCAGTTAAATGTTCTTAGAAATGTCGTTGTTTTTCTTGATTTTAATGGTTGTGATCCACGTTTTGATCTCTCCTCCTCCTAAGAGTATACTCTTTCTAATCATATTTATCAAAAATATTCAGCAATATACACTAAGCCCACCATTAAATGGCGCACGTTAGATTTTGCTAGAAGAAAAATACTTCTTCTTTGGGCTTGCATTTTATTAGGGATTGGTCTACTTTGATTTCTCTTTTCTCATGTGGGCGTGGTTGAGAAAAAAAGTCTTTGTTCCAGGAACGCTCTGTTTGTCTTTCACTAAACAAATCTTCAGTTTATTCAGCCTTTGTTCATTCTTAGATTTATCTATTGAACCTGGAGTGAATAAAGGAAGGAAACAAATGCATCATAAAGTACTCATTGGAGTTGCACAAGCATGTGTAAAAGTGATCCTGTAAAAAATGACTTCATTTTAATTTATGCCAGGGGTTTGAGTTAAGTCGTCAGTTGTCAGAGGTAGAAAGTTTGTGTAATTCTGCGCAGGGACTTGCAGCACATTTGTCTAGAAACTAATGGTTTACTACAAAGGCGCATGGGACATACATTTATATACACCCTGTTTAAAAAGCTGACCACATCCTGGCATAAGAAAAGTGCTGTCAGATCAACAGATTCAGCTCACTACTATCTACACAAAGGTATGAAGTAGTAATAACTGTCAGGCAGGCGTATATGAAACTCTCGAAGGAGCTAATGGATGGGTCATGTGCTTGTTAATTCCTAGAACAGTTTTCCTGATCTGATTTTTAGAGTTTCCTAATAAAGAAGAGAGCGCCTTATTCCCAGGAGCAATTGGCTCAATCGTGCTGTTGTGTAGGCTTATGGGATACTTACTTGTTGAAAACAAAGAAAAGCATGACCACATCCTGATTGACCAAAAGAGGTTTTAGGGCCATAAATTTTATTTTCTTAAAAAAGTAATGTAAATGCTGTTTACCAAAATGTATTACTCTTACTTTTTACACAAATTGTTTGATCTCCCCACCTACATCAGGGTAGTGGGGAAAGTTCTGAGTTTTTAAAAGTGATGGCTTTCAGGAGCTGTGCTTGTAAAAACAGTACTTCCCAAGTCCATCTGCCGTGGTGATTTTTTTTGCAGCATTGCATTCGTCTGCAGTGATGACATTCTAGGTGATATATCTGCTTCCAGAGACTTTTTAAAATTTAGCCTCTTATGTGTCAACATTTCCATTGCCTCACGTGAATCAAGATGAGTTGTTCCGTCGTGTTTAGTTGGGGAGAACTGATCTGACGTTTCTTTCAATATCTGAAGTGATTTTTACCTTAAGGGTAAGAAAGATGATTTCAGTATTGGTAATGGGATTAAATAGTAGACCTTTTGTCTCTGACAGAAGAAATAGCTGACTTATTCAGTAATCAGAGTACAGCAGAAAACGTAAACTGCATGCTCTTGCTTTGTCTTCATTGGCATGCATGGAAAGCCATGTTCAGTTACTCCACCTGAGGAGATAAATGAACATAAAAAGAAGTGCTGTTAAGTACTGGCTGCATACCTGCAAATGAATAATTTCTCATGTTTGCATCTCTGGTTGGGGTTTTTTGCTGTTAGGTTTCCTGCTCGTTATCATATGATGAAACTTGATTGTGATATTTCAAAATCTGCCACCTTTATGTCTAATATCATCTAAAATCTGGGGGAATGAAACGGTCTGAGCTCTAGATTGCTTTGTATTTTGAGCCCACATTTTGACAGTACAAGCTGTTTGGAAATTCATTTGCTCATTGTGCTCTGTAGGTGTTTTATTGAGTCCTGCTGCATTTGCAGTTAATGTGAGGAAAGTTATTTCCACCTGTTGGGGTAGCTTAGCATCAATGACCAGGTCAGATCAGCCCACCTCCTTCCCCCAGGGGCCCTTTGGTAGTTGCCAGTATCAGATACTTCAAAGGAGAATTAATAGCTCTATGCTCTGGGGCTTGTATATTATTATTTTTAAAAGACGTTAGCTGGTGTAAACATAAGTTCAGTAAGGCTGTATAGGGAGCTGAGTAAAAATGACAGATAATGTTTCTATCAAAGCAGCCAAGTTGGCAAAGTATGGGGAGCGCTTTGATTCAGGCCGTTGGCCAACTTCTGCGGAGCGGTGTTTTCTTACTCATCCAGGTAGAGTTCTTGTGGGTAAGCGTGGGAGAACTGAACAGAAAGCCAGAAAAGAAGCTGTTTCAATAAACTTTTTTTAAATTTCTAATTTTAACCTTTCTTTTGAAAACCACTGTGCTATAAAAGATAGGTCTTGAGAAAAGACTGAACCAGTGGGCCATGAGTTTTCTGAGATGCTTGAGTTACAGCCCTTGTTTTGTATTTTTCTGACATACTAAGGGTGGGGTTTTTTTTCTTTTCTTCTTCCAGGTGAGGATGATGAAGATTCAAACCTGCTAATTCTCAGCTACCCACAGTACTGTCGATATCGTTCCATGTTAAAGCGCATTCAGGACAAGCCTTCTTCAATACTAACAGACCAGTTTGTTTTAGCCCTGGGAGGCATTGCAGTAACAAGCAAGAACCCCCAAATCTTCTACTGTCGGGATACGTTTGATCATCCTACTCTAATAGAAAATGAAAGTATATGTGATGAGTTTGGTAAGTCACGTTACAGCTATTTTCTTTTTCTCACAAGTAAAGACATTTTTCTTCTTTTTAAGTGTCCACCGATTTCCAAGGGGAAGATGTGATTCCTTTGAAGTGAACCAATGCTATTTATGTTTGAAATATTAAGTACCAAATGTGCTCTTTCCTCTGTGAGACTGAAGGCTTCTAGCCACTAATGATCTCAGTATTGCAACTTGAGTTTATCACGATCAAAGATAATGTTACACTTGTAGAGCCTGTAGCACAGTTACTCAGTATGAGTGAAAGGATCCCTTGTATGGATTTGAAATTTATCTACCTTAACCATTTGCCTATAGCCTGTGTCTTTCCAGAAGGTTTACAAAGCGTGTTGGTTTTTTTTAATGTCATTGTTGGTGCAATATGCTAACAAATGCAAAAGAGGAGAGACTCCCTGCGCGTCCCGTTGCTGTTGCAGAGCACTCATCAACCGCGTGTATGCTCCCAGGGCCCTGAACAAGTGTCAGCTATAGCTGGTGTGTTTCTGGCCTTCCTGGAACGTGGGCTTTTTCAGCAGAGCCTTTGCTAGTGCTAGGAGCTTGATTTTACAAGTGCAGAGGCACTTCTGGGAGGTGACCTCTTAATTCAAAGGGTGTAGAGAATACCCTGCAGTTCCAGAGGACTATGCAGCCCCTTACAGCTGGGAAAGAGGGCTGCAAGATTCAACTCCTGATAGCTGCCAGGTGATTTCACACCTTTTTTTTTGTATCAGATCAACCCAAGGGCAGCGGATGTGCTGCTGAATATGTCGCAGAATGTATGTTATGTACACACCCAGGGTAACTCCAGTAATGGGTCCAGTGTAATTTCTTTAGCAGTGTACCTATGCTGTGCGAATTAAATTTTATTACCCGTATCACCAGATGGATGAGCGCTGCAGCTAATGCTAGCAAAGTCTGTTTGCATAGTGGTGGGTACACCTTTGCTCTGCGAGATCCCTACGTCTCTGCAAGGAAGCTCTTGTGGTCTCTTACAGAGAGAATTTCTGATTATGCATTTAACATCTAATAATGGGAGTGAGAGAGAAGGGGTTCAATGATGCCTGTGATGGGAGAATCATCTCCACCTTTTTCCTAACTCCAGCATGCTGGCTTTGAGCTTGGCACCCAGTCCAGGTCTTACTGCATTGGCAGAGAAATGCCAACCTAACTGGTGGCATTGGGGCATTTTGTGAGGTACAGCTCCTCTGCTGCTGCACCAATCAGCTCTCAACAGGCAGGAGAGATCCTTCCTCATGCAGTGTCATCACTGGAGCACATTACTGCTGTGAATAGTTTTAATTTTGTGATGTCAAGCTTTTGCAGAATCAGGCCGAAACTGTCAAGTCCACTCACACTCACACAAAACATTACAGGCTTTGAATGAACTAGGAATAAAAGTGTTGGTTGCTCTTAAGGGGTAGAGGTGGTGAAAAAATGAATGAAATGCCCTGGAAGTTTGGCCCAATAACACAATAGTATCATGTTGATTTTTATTTACTCTGAGCTCCGGCTCAGAATATAAAGTTCAGTTTTAATTGACTATCCTTCTTATATGGGAAAGATTATTTTAGGCTTGAAGGCGTTTGATGAGCGTACCATCTGCTTTCTGTGGAGTATTTTATTCAGGGTCATTCCTTGATTACAGGTTTGTTGAAATAGTTGGATCCATAATGTAAGTGTATCATGGAATATTAGTAATAGATGAATCAAAGAGATGTGGAGTGATGCAGAAACTACGCTTAGTGAACCATAGCAAGTGCTTTGTTCAGTCTCTGAAAGCTAACTATGCCATTCTCTTGACCTTTGCGAGGCAATTATCTCATTATCAAACCAGAGCCACAGAAATCTTAGCCATAGAAGTTAATAATGTGTATTTAAAATTTAGTTTGATTTAAGAAGCAGATTTTTAAAAATGCCTATAAAAACAAAAAAATACTACTCTTTAGAAGTATTTCTTATGAAAATAATGATGTGGTAAAATTTGCAAGCCCTGCTGTGTTAGGAAGAAAAAACTGGCCAATGTATGGTTCCATTTCTGTATTGCAAAACGTATGGTGTCATTTATATTACTTTCGTTGAAGGCAACAGGCAAAGTGCTATTTTATCCTTTTCTTTGCTGGCAGGACAATAAAATGTACAACACTTCGTTATACAAACAGTTTACGTTGATATCATGTAGATTGATGTCACATGTTGAAAGTGATGACTACTAGAGCTAAACAGAGGCAGGGTGGTACAGTAGATAAATGGATTACTCTAATGCACTGGTATTTATCAGTCAAATCTGAGGGGAGACCAGGTTACAGAAATGTGACTAAAATTCTTAAAAGGTGTCTATAAGGAGATCCAGACACATTTAATTTGAAGGGCTTGGCTATTTCTTACCTTGCAAATGAAAGAAGTGTGCAGAAGTAACAAGATAGGAACATGTGTATTTCCCCATCACCTGAAATTCTCCAAACTCTAAAGCGAGTACAAAATTTGGGAGATACGGTCTACTAATACCTTTATGTGAGAAGTGTTGGCTTCTGATACAGATGCCAGGTCTTCTTCAGAAACGTTGCTGTTGGGGAAGGTGTTACACGTTCTCTGAGTGTTGGAGTACTGTGTGACAGATACAGCATGTCACAAGTGAGACACCAGAAACACCTTTACAAAGAGCCCCATTCACCGCAGCGTGTAAGCTGCTGTCCTTGTTAGGCAGTTTTAATAGAGAAAAAACGCTTTTTCCAGGAAGTATTCTCTCTACTTTTATTATACATTTTTAACAAAAACATTCTGTTCAGCTCTGACTCCTCCTCATCCGCCCCGTTTTCTTCCCCATTCTGTGGGGGTTAACAAAAAACAAATAAAGCAGGAAATGAGGAAGAAAAGTTAAGTTTTGTTGACAATAAATACTGCTTTTTGGTGTGGGATTTTTTTCTTTTTTAAGTACAAAAGATATGTAGATGCTGTCTGTCAGGTCCTGCAGATGTGTCTGGAAGAGATGCTTTGATGCTTCAGGCAGTCCCACGTGGATGGCCTCTGTATTTCCATAGAGCTTCTGTAAGGGTTGGGTTGGGGTAACCTTCCCCACTGGCTTCAGCATGGGCTACCACAGCCATACAGCCTGCCGACACTGCGGCTACCTGTGTCTGCATCCGTCCTGCCTGTATGGCACGTGCCCAAGTGGTTTGGGCAGGAATATTCAGGACTGATTTTCTCGCAAAGTCCTTTTCTGCTTCTCCTCTAACTGGGTTCAGTGTGCCAAAGCGTCCCACCGAGGAGGCCCTGGAGAAGCGGGCTGCTGAGGGATCGGCTCGGCAGCTGGAAGGCTCAAACATTTGCATCTATTTCTTTGCAGCCTGCCAGGGAAGGACTCGCTCTCCATTTACAGAGGAAAGACTGCTGTGAGTGGGAAGCTTCCCGCTCCCATTCTTGTTGATATAACTACTGATTAGTTAATCTAACTGCCTTGGAGGGTTCCCCTCCAGAATGCAAACAGGCTCAAAAGCTTGTTTCTGTTCAGAAAGCAGAAGACATAAGCCGTGCTTGGATGTCTTGATAGCCAAGGTTGATGGATTATGACCACAGTCAGACTGTGTACCTCTTCCCCTCCTGAAGTAAGAGCAATTAGAGGTCCTCACCAGCACGAAACAGCCCAGGTGGATAATGAAATGGTGGTGTTGCTGGCTAGGAACAAGGAATCTGGGATTTTGAACCTGCACAGGAGGCTGGAGTGGAGTTGCCCACGGCAGCACTGAAGCACAAAGGCTTGAGCCCTGCCTGGTGGTGCCACCAGCCCGTACAGACTTGCAGGTGGCTCTGAGCTAGGGCCACGGGAGACCTCGGCCCGGACCCGGGCAGCAGTGGCAGCAGAGTCCGTGCCATGGCTCCACGGGCTGTCTCTGTCTGCCCGAGGGAGGGACCGGTTGGACGCAGCAGGGTGAGCAAATGGGATCAGCTCTTCTCATGGTCTCGTTTTATTTCTCTGCGCAGACTAGAGTTCACCTACGCATTCCTTTATCTAACTGCTCCTATTAATTGGCATGTGGAAAAAAACAAAACCCTATTTCCTCATTCCCCTGCTCCCTTAAAATAAAAATAATATGTACCAGCTGAACAATTCATTTCCCTCCAACTCAAGATCATTGGTAAAGACATTTTTCAAAATCCTTTTCATTTATCAGCCTCTGGGGCTACTGTTATTGAATAACTTTTGTAAATGTCTATAATTCACTGGCATTTGCTGTGTGGTCATATGTGCTGCAAGAGAGAAGGAATGAAAAAATAGGGGTCCTAATAGTTTTCATTATAGACCAAAAAGATCTAGTTGGAGGCAAAACTGCCTGTGCAGTGCCCAGAAGATGGATTTGAGGGTCACTGGGCAGAAATCAGGGTGCAGTTGTTGCTAGAGCAGCACACGTCCTCTGCATTTTCTTGTCCGAAGGAGGAGACTTGGCCTTCTACCAGACTCGTGCATGCTCCACCCCATGGAGTGATTTCCAGGGCACGTGGATGAGCGTGGATCCTTTCGCGACCCAGTTGTGGGCCCCTACAGCAAGGCAGCGCACAGATGTGTCTATCGGCATGTCCTCCACCTTCTCCAGCCTTGGGGACTCGCAGGGCGGCAGGAACAGACGCACAGCTTAGAAGCAGGAGGGTCAGGTGCTTGGGTGATGGTGGGTTTCTACAGCTCCATTGGCTTCGCCAGGTGAAAATCTCGCTCGGGAAGATTTGTCATGGTGCTTTGCTGGATAAATATTATAAATCCTGCCTGCTAAAGATGAACCAGAAGGCTCGCTTTCATTTTGTGAGCGTGGGGTTGCTTTTTCTATAAACCGGAGTGTGAGAGAAAACTGAATACCTTATTTCATCTCGATTTTTAAAATCTATTTGGTAAATTTTAAATCATTCTGGATTATTTTTATAGCATGCTGGGTCCAATATGCCATTAAACAAGCTGTTTGGTCCCTGGGGTAGTGTAAACACTTGTTCACCCCCAAAAGAAGG